GGGCCTGTTGGTTCCTTGGTTGCTGTAGAAAACTATGTCATTTTGTAAATGCAGTTTTCTTTTTGGCTATAAATGTACAACTGGTAATTTCTGCAAACCAGCAAAGTAGAGAAAAGAAAGTCTTACTGACTGTTTCTTAAAAAAAAAAAAGTCTGATCTTAGTTTATAGATTTCATGTGTTACAAAGCATGTATCTATTGCAAATTTGTTTGAAATTACTAGAGATACACACTGCAGTTGCTGATGGGTTCTGTGTTGTGTAGGAATGTGTGGCAAGTGTTGTGTTGGTTGGGAGCTTTAGAGCACACTGCTTGGTGTTACCTGAGCCCTTTCTTAAAGGACCTTTTGCTTTTCAAGGGGTACCTGATGAGGAGGACATATTTAAGAAACCCAGGGAAGTTGTCCATCGAAACACCCGTTTTGTGAAGGACCCTTTTAGCCAAGCCGTGAGCAAATCACAGCTCCAACAAGCCGCAGCCCTCAATGCTCAGGTTGGATAATTTTACTTCTTCTGACTAAAGCCGTGTTAGACTCTGCCCCCTGGTGGTGTTCATCAGCCGGGAGAACTGTGTGTGTGCTAGATACAGCTGAATCGCCTTTCTCCACATGGATGGCATTGTCTCTTTTATTTTAGTACAAACAGGGCAAAGTGGGACCAGATGGGAAAGAACTGATACCCCAAGAGTCTCCAAAAGTGAATGGATATGGATTTGTGGCTACCCCCTCTCCTGCCCCTGGTAAGAGGATTTTCTTATTTTGTCTGATGTAAGAGGACTGCTACTGCACTTATTTTGATGCTCTGTTTGTTCAACACTGAGGTTGGTTTACACACAGAGGTAAACCTTCTATCTGTTTATGTCCCATGAGCTGGTGACTTTCTGAGTACCGTGTGTGCCAGCTGGATGCAGTGCTTAAATCCTAGTGCAATACACTGGCAAGAGAAGTCATGCTGTACCTGGGAGGCTCTGAGCAAGCTGCTGTGCCATCGCTTAGGAATCGTCTAGAAGGGCAGTGAGCCTTCCTAGGCAACTGGGGTGCCACAGCTGCTTGTTTTATCCCTGGGTGATGCTTCTCTAGGGCTTAAAGATAAGAATTCAAACATTTCACAAACATTAACTTTCCAGCGAGTTCAGGTGCTCATTTTTGAAAACGAGGAGTGTTTGTGTCAATGTGTCCAGTAGTTTTCTGAGTGATGGGTCAGCCTGGCTCATAGGGATGTAGCACACCTCACTTCCTTCACAGTCTATCCTACTGTTTTCCTCCAGGTCTACTGCTTTCCAGATTGTCTGTATACACTTGTGTATTATAGATTTCTTTTGTTCAGATGTATTAGTCGCAGAATACTTTCAGTTAAAACAAACTGATTTTTTGCTTCCAGTTGAAATGCGGTATCTGAATTTTTAGCTGTTCTTCACCAGCCATTATGTTTCCTCGTCTTTTGTTATTATGCTAAAAAATGAACATGCTGAGGCTTTTCCTCCAGAAAGCCTGTAGGTGGCATTTGGAGCGCACCTCCTTTCTCCATTGCAAATGCCTTTTCCAAACCCTGGACAGCAGGATTTTCTAGCGAGTGACTTAATCATCTCTTAGAATCTGTCCTGCAGTTGTAGCTGTTAGACAAGGTGCAGTTTCTGTTTGGTACAGGCTAGCTTCAAGATGAATTGAGGGTACATTTGGCTATTACATGTATCTTAAGTCCTCTAACCGTTTCAAATAGTTCCCTGTGTTGAAGGAGTTTTCATACAATAACAGGGGGGAAGACTAGTACTGTAGAGGAAAAAAACAAAAGTGTCACTAAGCAAAAGCTCGCCAAATGGAAAAATAAACATGTGGAAAGGACAATGCTTGGGTGTTGTAACCTAAAGGGTGACACAGCCACAGGCAATCCTGTGAGTTTAAGGTCATGCCCTTTTAATGGGAACCACATGTAACTATTCAAGATTGGCTGTGATTTCCTCTTCAGTGGAGGGACTCCTTTGTGTGTTGATGTTGTGCTGCATTTCGTAACTTGCTTCTGTGGATTTTTTTGTGGTGAACGAACAGTTAAATGTCTTGCATGAGCATGACTTTTTAAATTTGCTTTTAGGTGTGAATGAGTCTCCTTTTATGACATGGGGTGAAATCGAAAGCACCCCTTTGCGTCTAGAAGGGTCAGACACGCCGTATGTGGACAGAACACCTGGACCAGCCTTCAAGGTATTTTATGTCAGGAGTCAGCTTGTCATTCTCTTTTTTGGGGGGAAGGACTAAGAAGAGAAAGGCAAGTGAGTAATTAATAGATTAACATTGTTGTGGGAGCGTGACGCATCTCTGGGCTGTGTTCCCAGTGCTTGAGACTAATAATCTAGGTTCTGCTTGGAGGGTGGAGGTGGATGTGGCAGCACATGAAAGCTACTTGGTGGAGATACCTGAGGTGGAACACACGCTGTTGGCAGGAGAGTGAGACTCAGTATTTGATGATGGGCCCAGACAGAGGGGCTTTCAAAGGAACCTGAAGAGATGCCTCATTTCTCTAATTTTAATGTGTGAATGGGTAGAAATTGTAGGATTTCCCCCTCTCTCGATCTTCTGGCTGTCATGGCCTGAGGCAGGTGTATTATGAGAGAGTAGAAAAGGCGCTCTGGCTTTGCTAATGGCACCTGGCCCTGCATGCTACCTGTCTCCTGCTGGTGTCATTGAATGTGAGCTGTCTGAGACTCTTAGTTTAAGAACGGTGTGATTTGCTGTATGTGCCTCTGTTTTGTCAGTCTCTGAAGCCCTTGACTAGTTCTCCTGCTGTTTAGCCATGTCTGTGTTTGCCTGAGAGTTGGCTGGCTACAGGCCAGGCTAGGCAAGACACAGGTGACATTGTTTTTCTAGGAGAGACAGCAGGAGGAAATGCCAGAGGTAATGGCTGCTTCCTTGGCTGGACTGGTTTTACCATTTTTGTTACTCGCTAAGGCAGGTTGAAGGTCTCTCTGTGTCCTCTCTGGCTTTTATATAGCAGCAGAGAGGTGTGGGCTCACCCCACTTCTCCTCAGTTAAAATCCCTGTAGGCTGGAATCCAACTGTGAAGGGGCTTTGACTCGTTTATGCAGCACTCATGAGTGCCTTGGCAAGTGAACTGTGTGATGCATTTACAGATCCTGGAGCCTGGGCGACGTGAGAGGTTAGGACTCAAGATGGCCAATGAAGTGGCAGCTAAAAACCGAGCAAAGAAGCAGGAGGCACTTCGAAAAGTGACAGAAAACTTGGCCAGGTGAGACTTCTCTTTGGACAGCAGAACTGGGGATGGGTATTTTCTGATGAGGTTTAAATCAACATATGTAGAAAGGGAGGAATGATAAAGAGTACTGGAAGCAGGAAGAGGTACAGTCAAGCTAAATGGTTTTAGAAATTAAAAAACTTAATTCCTGATTGGAAGATGGGTGGTGACTGTCCCTTGATACTCCCTCTTGTCAGCATTACTGTTCTACCCTACAGTCACCCAGCAATGCATCTGGATTGGTGTTTTCCCTCATTGCAAAGAAGAGACATGATAAGGCTTGCTTGGTTGGGTCATGGGAAGGACGGAACAGGCTCAAAGTGGCAGGCAGTACCACTCAGGTTTGGGAGGGATGTAAGAGGTTTCTCTGTCACTTGTCTCTCTAGAGACACAGACTGCATTTACCTGCAGGCAGAGTGATTTTGGCATCTGGTGGGTCTAAGTCTGCGGGGGGAGCAGACACTGAGCTCGCCTGTGGAAGCATTGGTGCTCTTCCTGATAAATGGCAGATTTTTACTGTAAAATCTTTTAAAACTGTTTATTCTATTCCAGCCTTACTCCGAAAGGACTAAGCCCAGCAATGTCACCAGCTTTGCAAAGACTAGTAAACAGGACCGCAAGTAAATACACCGACAAAGCCCTGCGAGCCAGCTATACCCCTTCCCCAGCCCACACAGGAACTCCTGGTTACAAGACCCCAGCAAGTGGGCCTCATACACCCACAACCACCCCACAATCCAGGACAGTATCTCAGACGCCAGTATCTCAGGATACTACATCGATCACAGACAATTTACTGCAGCTTCCTAAAAGAAGGAAGGTATCCAATTTCTTCTGAATATTCCAGTCACCAGCAAAGTGACAGTGAACTGGCTGTGCTCAGCTGTCTGCAAACTGGATGTTGTGAGCCATCGGTAGTGAGGGGTGTCTAGATACAGCTGCCAGAGTGGAAACGAGCGGTTACAAGATCTGGGACCAGTGCTACTCTAGACTATATAGCTAAAATAGCCTGTGATGTGCTTTTTGGAAGCAGAGTGTCTCCTGCTGTGGTATAACTTCCCTTTGAACTGCATGGGTGGGATGCACAGGGCTGCTGTAGCAAAAGGATGCTTCCTGCAATGGCAGAGAAGCTTCTGGACTCTTGGGAAATGGCGATAATTTTTTAAAGATACGTTTCTTTTTAAGATGGCCATGCATTTAAATACGTTTCTGTACAGACATGTCTATTTATAAAAGTGGTAAGCCTTCCTAAAAGGTTGGACTGGACTTTCTTCCAGCTTGTCAAACTTCTTTGGTTTTGTACTTTGCAGAAGAGGGGATATGACAATGTGTATATTGAGACATGACCCAGAATTTGAGAGGGCTGCTCTTTAATTGAAGTGGAGTTTAAACTGGTGCTCTTGAATGTACGGTGGGCCTGTCAAGAGAGTTGGTACGTCGTGAAAACAGTATTCATACAGTTTCAGACATCAGTTCACACTTACTAATAACCTGCCCTCTTACTGAATCCAAAATGTGGTTGATGCACGTGTGAATTCTGCAGCTGGTGTAGTCAGGAACTTGAGAAACGTGAGTGTAAGAGCTGTTAGGCGTCAGCAGCACTGAAAGCAGCTTTCCAATGTGTTTTGACAGTAACTTCTCATCCCCGCAAACCATATCAGAGACAGGTCTTTTGAGAACAATGGTGTTAAGCTGTTTGTTCACCTCAGCACATGTACTGTGTCTTCTGTTGCTATACTTTGTAAAGTCGAAGATGAGGACTACTGCTGAAAGGGTCCGGAGAAGCTGAAGTTGAGAACCAGTTAGACCAACTTTGTGACATTGTTGAAACCAGCTATCCTTAAGAGGATGTCGTTTCCTTCTCCTCTCCTTCCCCTTCTGCAGAATGGGATTTGTCTTGCTGCTTGTGCTCAGGCTTTCCTCCACGCAGTTTTTGGGAACACTCACCCTCTTCTGCAGCTGGCAGAGGGGAAGGGATCATGGATTTAGGAGTCTGCAACCATGAGTGTTTCAAAACTTCATCTATGCACAACCTCTGAGATATGTTGGGCTGGAGCAAGTGGTGAATGAGGTCCTTGCACTCTACAGTCAGGTGTTTTGAGTTGGGGAAGGGAATCCTGTGTTGTTTCTGAATACCGATCATTTTCCTGATGTTGGAATCATCAAATGGCATTAAAGCGTACACCATTGTATACAGGATGACACCCAGGCTCCATATGTCAGAAATCCTGGGGTCACAAGGAATGCCCTGTAGCACTTCAGGGGCTGCGTACGCAGCAGACCCGCAGAAGGTTTTGCTGAGAACAGTTCTTCCATTTTCATCCCGAGATAAGGATTTGGAAAAGCCAAAGTCTGACAGCTTGATGTTGAGGTCTTCATCGAGAAGGATATTCTCACATTTCAGGTCCCTGTGAGCAAAGTCTGAGTCGTGGCAATGCTTGATGGCAGAAGCCAACTGCTGAAACTTGATGCGAGCAATGTCCTCTTTCATAGCTCCCGTGATCTTGATGTAGTCCAGGAGGTCTCCCTTCTCCCCCAGCTCCATCACGATGTACACTTTTCCAGCTGATGTCTCAAAAATCTCATAGGCTTTGATGATTGAGGGGTGGTGCAAACGTCTCAAAGCCTCTATTTCCCTGGGGAGAAATCTTTCCAGGAAGTCCCGAGGAGTTTTCCTCTTGTCGATGATCTTGACAGCCACATTACGTTTCAGCCGATCACAGTAGGCGGATTTCACTTTGCCATATGAGCCTTGTCCTAGCGTGTTGTTCAGGCTGTAGCCTTTCTTTCCAAGCACCACAGCATCATCCATGGTGGGAGAGCTGGGGGGAGCTGCGTGAGTTGGTGCTGGTGTGCATCATGTGTGGTGGCAGATGGTGTGCCCACGCACCATGGTGGCTGCCTTGGCCCTGGTGTGGCAGGCGGGTGGGCACCGCAGCGCTGGCCGCTGTGTGATGTCACAGGCAGCCCCCCCTCCACAGGGCACCAAGGACCTTTCGGTGCTTTTATAAAGCTACTGGATGACATCATCCAGAGCAAAACTTAACATCGGGTCGCTGGGAGACATTGGTTGCACTCTGCCTTCATAAAATGATCTTTAATTTTGCTAACAGGATGGAAGTAGCTTAAATGTTTTTCTTCCCTAAAGTGTACCTCAGTCTTACATTTATTCACAAGTTAGGTGAAATTTTGTCTGGTGTCTTTTTTGTATATCCCAGATGATCTCTCAAGCCCCGTGTGGGCTTGCTTCTGGCCTACGGTGGTCTTGCTCCTCATTAGCCAGTGGCCTTCAGAAGGGATGGGATGCTGCTTCTCTTGTCTCCACTGGTTCCATATTCAAGAACTGGGTTTTTTTCCTCATGGGCTTGTTAGGGGAAGGAAGTGGCTTCTCTTAAGTTCATTTCCTTGTTGTTTACCCAGCCCCTCCATTTTGTAGCTCTGATGATTGGCTTTTGTGGGCTTTGCAGCTGGCTTTTTCTTAAACCCTTACTCAGCGGGGGAGTTACATTTTGACTTCCAGCTTCTGGTGTTCTTGAGAAGGGTTCACACCGACACCTTTCTCAGAAGGGCTCTGAGGATTACTGTTTTGCACATTGATTGCTTCACTGTAATCAGCTTCTGGGGCTTTTTGATTTGTCTCAGCTTTTTCAAATTTGTTTTTACAGCTGCTATGTATGTGACTCCAAAGACTTGATGATGATGATCATAACGCGGTGGCTAGGGACAGTCCTGCTTCATCCACCAGCATGGATGACCCTGTCATTCTGAAGAACAGAAGTGGAACTTCTGACAGCCACACTGGGGCTTTTGTTTGGGCTTTTTCCTCCCGTTCTTTGAAACTTTTGGCTAACTTTTGGAATTAGCCAAAAAAAATGAAGAGCAGTTTTAACCATACATAGCCTGCACTCAAGAGCTGTGGTCATTCCAGTATGAGCTGACCTTTGAGTGTGGGATGAGCACTGGTGTGATCCAGCCTGGAGAAGAGCCGAGCACCTTTTAGCAGGAAGCAGGCGTAGCCATGTGTGTATGCTTTTTGCACCATGCCAGAGTACAAGACAGCCTGTGTAACACTTGGCAGCCTTGACATTTTCTATAACCAGGTGATGTTTTACTGAGGAAACATGCATGGAAAATCTTACTTGGCTCTCTGAGCAGTGCCTGCCGCCTTCTGTAAGGTCTGGGGTGTTTGATGCCGCGTTTGTCTTGGTGAGAGCTTCCTATTGCGCTGTTTCCACTGCCACTTCCAAAACTCATGTCCCTGACTGTGAAAAACCCTTCCAAGGGACTCGATTTTTATAGGGCACCTTGTAAAAATTAGTTGATCGACATGGCATTGCTAGAAATTGCAACTCCAGGAAATTAGTAATTTTTGCTTTTTTTTTTTTTTTAGTTCAGAACTAATTGAAGGCTAAATTTTTTTTCTTTAAGCAAAAATATTCTCAGGTACTCATGAATGAATGTAAGGGGAATTCACTTACTAATGTTTCCATGTTTTCAGAGATGTTCCTTAAGGACTGAACTGGCTAAATAACAATGAAGTTCTTAGGTAATTTTAAAAAATAATTATTTATTTCATAATGATCACACGATCTGCATATCTCCATGAAATGTAGGACCTCTCTGTTAGGGTACCCAGGCAGGTCGGGTCCTGGCCCGCAGTTTGAGTCACTGAACAGAGCAGGGGAAAGGAGCAGACATGACATGAGAGATGGCTGGATGCAGCAGGGAACGGGCAGCTGCTGGATCGCTGCAGAGAGCGCCCAGGGAAGTGTCTGAGCTTCACGGATGATTGAGGAGGAGCATGGGGACCACCTGGGGTGTGGAAGCTGGCGAGGTGGAGGTGACCCAGTGCGAGGTATCAGAAACACCAAATTGGGCTACGGCTGTAGCAAGACAGGGCCCAATGGGAAAAAGTAATTAGAGGAGGGTTATTTTGGGAAGAGACGAGGGTTAGAGAAAGGGAGGGATTAGAGAAGGACAAGCATGGGAACATGGAAAGAAATGTCCCAACCCCCATGGGATGTGGGCTGGATGTGTGGAAGCAGGCTGTGATCAGCGTGCGTGTCTCAAGCCTGGTACCTGATACCCTCCATCTTCTTGTCAGGTGATTCCTACCCATTCACTGGGTGCCGGAGCTCTCCTGGGTGTGGGATGCACGTAAGGGCTGGGCAGTGTTTGAGGGACCGTGGATGAGGTGTATGTGTGGGTCAGAACTGGGATGGGGCATGTGTCTTCCATGGCATTTCAAACCGGTCATGCTCATACCAAGGTGTAGCTGGGATAACAGAGCAGGGAATGTGATACCTGAAAAGAATTGCACAACGTGGAACTAATCAATGCTTAAAAGCAAATTGCATTAAATATCCTGTGGGACAGCGTTGGTTTTGTGTTTGCCCCCAAGTGAGTTAACTCAGACAGCCCTACTAAAATCACTGTCTCAATTCTGCCAGACTGAAGGGCCTTCACGTGTTTGCTGGGAATGTAATTTATTTTCAATTAAATGCTCTAAAACTGGATCTCTTTAAGGGGATGTAGTGCTCTTCAGATGGGCTATTCCTGTAACGCCTGCTCTAATGTCTGGTCTCTGCTTCCTGCTGCCTTTCAGCCCTTGCTGTCTGTAATTAGGGAATCAGTAAACTCTTTGTTGCCAGAAATTTTTGCTGCCGTAGTCCTAGCAGATCATGTGCCTTACAGGGCCAAAACCAGTGTGAAAAAATATCTTGGTTCTTGATGACTTGTGATTTCCCCCCCCCCTCCTGTTTTTCAGAGGGTTCTTTTCCTTTTGCTGTTCCTGTCTATCTGCATTTTCCTATGTGCAAGGCCCAAGCACGCTTCCTCCCTCAGCCAAAATAGCACCCGGAGCTCTCCTAACGCCGCAGAGGTGGTTGGCAGTGAGCGGCGGTGGGGCTGGCTGCGGTGGGTTACCGGCTGCACACAAGAAATCGTGGGAGCCCCAGTGGGCCTGTGGCCCTGGGGTGTGATGTGGGGCTGTAACATCCCCTGCGGAGTCTGGGGGTGCTTTGCATGTGCAGTTTGGGGCTCGGCTCCTTGCTCCATGCAGGAAAGAAGAGGAGAGACTTGTTCTTATAATTGGATGGGAAAGAGGGGGGATTATGGTTGATTTGGGGAACAGCAGGATGTAGTTCTTAAAGAGAAAGTTGCAAGAACCATTAGTGATGAGCCAGTGAGGATGAGGGATGAGTTGCTGCAACCTGGACGGAGAAGGCAGGCTCAGATGCCTTAAAGAAGCAAAACACTGATTACACCAGGGATGACTGCTGCCCTTTCCTTTATGGGGCACAAGTAGGAAAATGCTGAGCGGCAGACAAGCAGCAACACAGGGTTTGGTGCGGGGGGTGAGAAAAGAAACTCTCACGATCACCCCGTGCTGTACTTTGAGCAGACAGCCAGGTCCGAGTGGCTGGGGAGTGGCTGCCTTGGACACTCCAGCTGAAGGTTTGCTCAGCCCCTGCAGCCCACGTGAGCCACGTCTTGCGGCAACGGGACTTCCCGAAGGCAGCAAGCCCCAAGCTGCTCCCCTCTGCTCCTCACCTTCAGGGCCAAGAGCATTTCCCTGGGGCAGAGTAGCCACCCCTGCCGTGGTGCCGGGGGCCATGCAGGGCTGCAGCTTTGCACCCACCTCGAAGTCGGTTCCAGTAAGGGCTGGGGCTCTGCGCTGCTTTCTACTTCTCCGATTATTTAGCCCAGAAGGAAGCTGTGGTTGGAGGCGCTGTTGTTTTGGAAGACTGGGCTATTTCTCTGTGAAGATAAAGGAAATGGATCCACTCGCTCAGGGGAGAGGGAGAAGGAGCAATTCCTGCTTCTTCATATTTACATTTGGTGCCTCAATCCCAGCTCCCTGCAGCTGGCCCCGCAGCAGCTGGCTGCAAACCCCAGCTCAGAGTCAGGCCGGGGCAAGAGCTGGGTTCCCTCCCTTTGAGCCCCTTCCCTCTGCTCCTCCCGGGCACGGCAGCTTTTCTCTGCTGCTTTTTGGGCACAGGGGATCTGCACTTACTGGTTAGAGAAACACTTGTTCCCAGTAGGAAACTGGGAGTGCCTGGGATGTGCCGGCTCCTGCACGCCCTGGGCAGAGGCGCTCGGCATGTTTTTGCTAGCACGCTCCGTCCTCACCCCTCCTGCCCGGGGCACTGGGCTGCCCCTGCTCCCCCCAATGCAGCCCCTGGTACCCCGGCCTCCTGCCTGGGGGCTTGGGGCTGGTGCGGCTGCTTGGGGTGGCCCTGCCTCATGCACGCCTGTGGCTTGGCCAGGGTATTCACAGTCCCATCGTGTTGGTGTCTGCCAGTGTTACAGAGCTTGGCACAGCACAGCCTGGGGAAGTGGGTGCCTCTTACCCTTCACCTTTGTGCTCTTGTGTGGCTGGGCCATTTATTGCCTGTTTGCTCAGAGGTGCTGTGCACATTGTGGTGCTTTGGCACACGTGTGTGCTCCAGGCCCACCTCTGTTTAGAGCTGGGGGGCACTGGGGGCTGTGGCATGGGCAAATGAGGTCTGTGTTTTCTTGGGTTGAAAGGCAGGAAGAAGCAGCCCGTGCCCTGTCTACAAGGGGAGTGCTGCTCTCGTGCTGGAGGCATCGCAGGACATTTACTTATACATATGGGTGATGGGGTGTCATGAGCTTGGGGGGGATAAGGAACGTCCTGGATCAATCTGGGGTCAGCACGTGCAGCTAGGCTGTGGGAAGCTGGGCTGAGAACAGCCTCTCCCTGCAGCATCCCTTGGGAGGAACAAAGCTGGGGAGTTTGACGCTTGTGCCTTCGTGCTGGAGGATGTTGTCATGCGTCAGGTCCCCACGGACACACAGATCATGACGGTATTTGGCAGCGCATGAGAGCTGGCAAAATGGGTTTTGGCCTAAATTGTCAGGCAACCCCCCTGCTGCTCATGACGCGCTCCAGCAGGTCCCCAAGCACGCACGGCCCCTGCCACGCAGCCCTCCTGGGGCCCCGCAGGGCTCACAGCTCTGGGAGATGGAACTGGGCTCATGTTTGTTGCTATCCCAGCTCTGGGGTCTTCGTGGGCACCAATTTCCACTGCCACATTAAACTTCATTTTTAGCTTTGGAAATGGCCTCTCCCTGACACTGCTGAGCTGAGCATGGCAACAGCTCCCGTGGGGCTGGAGGAGGCAAGTGCCGGAGAAAACCCACTGAAGCCCCCGTCCCCCTGCCTGCTGGTCGGCAGCCGGCGCCTGGGCAGTGGCTGGGGGGAAGCAGAAGCAAGGAAAGAACAGAGGTATCTGTACATTCCTTAGGAATACCCCCCTGAGGAAGGTTTGCCGCTGGGTGTAATGAGTAATTAGTATTAACAGTGAAACTGGGAGTATATGATTGGTTTAAAATAGTCCTTACTGGAATTCCCATGTTTTATTTGAACACTTCAAATTGTAGCATAAAAGTGAAAACCACTTTGTTGTAAGCTACTTTAGTTCAGTAAAATTAAAAAAATATAAAAAGTTCTCAGACAGCTTCCCAGCTTTTGGGTTTGACTCTGCGTAGGATTTTACTGGAAAGCTGGAATTCCCTGCAGAGGAAAGTGTGGGTTCCCTGTGACACAGCAGCCACTGTGAGTTGGTGAGCCACTGAGGGACGCCGTGCCCTGGTGCTGCCTGAACACTGCTCCTTCGCTTCCCATCATCGGAGGAAATTCCAGCTCAATCTGGGCAGTGGCCCTTGAAGGTAAAACTGCCTTTTGATCCCAAATGCCACCCGGGCTGGCCCCGAGCACCAGGAGAGTTGTGGCATTGGGGATGGTGCCACCACCCCAGGCTGGGCTCCCTGGCAGGGACAGCCACCACCCTGCCCAGCTTGATGTGCAGCAACACCCAGGGTCAAATTCCTAAAGGCACCTGTCATTTGCAGGGCCATTAACAACCATCAGAGACGCACAATTAGTTTTCTTTATGCATTTCCTCTCTGTCTGGATCTGGGATCTGGGAATGCAGTGTTTCCAGGAGGTATGGAAACACCAGCTGGCTCCGGCACTGCCGCAGTGCTGGAAGCTGTTGCGCTGGGTCCCTGGCTGCAGGGATGTCCCAGCACCAGATACTGCTTGTCAGTGTCACCCCAGTTTCATGGGGACCATCCCACCCTGCGGTGGGCAGGTGGGAACAGATTAATGAAGCAGGCAAACGATAGTCAACCTTGGAGCCCGCTGGGGCTGGGAAACCCCAGCGCTTTGTGCCTGTGCTGGGGGACAGGCAGGGTGACGGGGCTGGGAAGTCCCTGCAGCGGCAGGGAAAGGCCATCGCAGCGGGGATGGAGGGGACTGGGAAAGGCCGACCTGGGGGATGGAAGAGGCTGGTTCAGGCTCTTACGGAAGGGATGGGGACTGAGGTGAGTGGGAAAGGCCACCCCAGCTCGGGACAGGGAAAGGTGGTCCCGGGGGGACAGAGGGGACCAGTGGAGGCCATCCCGGTGGGGATGGTGGGAACTGGGCAAGGCCATCCTGGGGGGACAGAGGGACCGGCATTGCCACCCTGGTGAGGACAGAGGGGACCGGTAGAGGCCATCCCCGGGGGACGGTGGTGGCTGGCAGTGGCCATCCGGGGGGACAGAGGGGACCGGTGGGAGCTGTCCCGATGGGGACAGAAGGGACCGGT